CTGGCCACATAAGTGGTCATAATACGGCACACCTTCAAGGTGTAAGGAGTGAGCTGAGCCGGACACACATTGTAAAAATGGCAAAGCTCCTCCGTCAGAGGGTAGATTGGAAGATTGTAACCGATCAAGAACGGGTACTCATAGAATGTGCAATATCCAGGCCGGTGCACATTGGTATAGTCCGTCCCGGCCGGGACCATTTCCACGTGGTCCGGAATATGGTGCGTCTCTCGAAGATCATCTAAATGGGATTGTGATAAAACGCTGTGCTCCCAGGGAAGGTCTGGGCTTTTAGTTGGAAAATCCCTGCGAACATGCATCTCCTTCGGAAGGACGTTGTCTACGCTGAGAGGAACAAGGGCCTTCTCCGCCTTTTCCCCTTCACCACCGGAAGATGGCGGAACCCTAGACGGGGCATTATCTTTGGCCTTTTTACTACTCTGTCCACGTTTTGTCATGATCATAGTACGTAAGAAACGAAGCACTGACAATAGGAAGTGTGGTTTCGACAGAAGTGGGAGAGTCCCTCACGAAATAACGGTTACAGGAAAGAAAGACAAAGGAGTAAATCAGAAAATGCTTTCCGAAGGCTTGAAAGTTGAATCGAATCGAACCTCTCTCCTACTTATAGGGATAAGTTGCGCAGAAATCGAAGAGTCATGATTCAAAACGTGCGCGGGAAACCAAAATGTCACATCATCCTCTGAACCGCCTCGGGGGCAAATATAATAATGATGCATACAGGCGATGACGTCATTCCAAAAAGGAAGCCACGCGTCAGTGGCTCAACAACGTCATATATTTCACCTCATTCATATTGCCGCCCCTGGTCGAGGTTAAATTCTCATAAGCCGAGGTTCGCATTTTCGCCCATCGAAGACGCCCACCGAATGCATCTCCAACGAGCGGAGGGACTAACTGTACAGGGTCAAATTTGACCCTCAGCATCTCTACGCCAGTGGGTACGCCCAGTGAGTGTACGCCGACTAACGTATCGGGTACGACTCGGACGTGGGGACAAAAGCGACATCGTTTAGGACTCAGTGTCTTCACTAGGGAGACGTTACCTGTCTTTGTAACTTTTTGATTCTTTAGAGGAAGGTCTCTTATTATATAAAGGAGACCTTCACATTGTAAAAGGGGGATTCAGATCTAATACAACTCTCTCATTTTCTGGCTTTCTCTCTCTATCTCTACCTCAAACGAACATATCTTACTGAGTTCATATTATCACTTTGCAATACTAGATCTACCACAATAATATCATCTCTGCATCTCTAGGTTTATTATATTTGATTACGATTTACCCTTTTCTTACTTTTGATTGTTTTCTAGCTTACAAAGTATATTGTTAAGTTTTGAGCCAAACAGGGGTACCTAATTTATATCTTCAAAAATATATATAGCCTGTTTTAGACCATAAATTCAAAGTCCATAAGTTTTTCTTGAGCAAAATTCATTTATAGTCAGGCCAAACTTATACTATCCGGTAGCCGCAGATGACCCCATACAAGTCATAATAAAAACAATAATAACGGCTTGAATGAGTAAAACCCAACTACAGAGATGGCTGACTCACCACACTGCACCCAAACGATGAAAAAGATAGTCAATGATTTTTCTTTCACTAAAACTTAACAATTACAGTAATTACTTCATTCAGGGAAGATTTATCACGTACTCCCCAATTGGGCTAAGTCTTGAATTCATGTAATTCAATAGGGAGAATACATTATTTCTTCATCACATGTATTCTATCATCGTGGTGTGATGCTTTATTATTAAGTTGGCAGGCTTTAATTGGAAATAAAATGTACAGTATATGATAATAAACATGTACATTTGACCAAACTCTAAATTAGTTAACAAGTTTAGAAAATTCTGTCTTCAGTTCGCCCCTCTTTCTTTTAGTCCCATGTCATTGGTGCGAAGGGATGCCCGAGTTGGCATCTCGTGACTATGTTAGAGGTAAAGTAATTGCTATATAGTTAGAGTTCTTCTTAATGATAAATTTGAATTAATTTGTTCTAATTGGAATTATCTTTTTCTGAATTGTAGAAGTTTTATGATTGTTCTTTCTCAGATAACTATGCATAACACTGAAATATATACTAAATAGACTATCACTATACAATTTATATACAATAGACTGTTATTATACAAAATATATACCAAATAAACTGTCACTATATAAAATATATACAAAATAAACGGTCACTATCAAAAAATATATCCAAAAAATATACTAAATAGACTGTCACTATACAAAATATATACAAAAATAGACTGTCACTATACAAAAAATATACTAAATAGACTGTCACTATACAATTTATATACAATAGACTGTCAGTACACAAAATAGATTGTCACTATACAAAAAATATAAAAAATAGACTGTCATTGTACATTGTCCAAAACAATAGACTGTCAGTGTAGAAAAAATATAACTAAATAGACTGTCACTATACAAAATATATACAAAATAGACTGTCACTACAAAAAAATGTACAAAATAGACTGTCACTATACAATTTATGGATAGTGATATTTCGAGGCTATTAGATGTTATATGTTTGGGCCGGAGGGACATTACGGGTAAATAAAGAAAAACATGAGCTATTAAAATTTTGAGGGGTTATAGAGGGTAGTTTCTCTTTTTTCTTCGTGCCTACAAATACCATCACATAAAGGATGGAGTATATAATTTGATTTAAATAGAGGGATCTTTATATAAATAGCCTATTAAATTTACTGTTTACTTTTCCTAGCATGTATACATAAATTATACATTAATTATATACAGTTATACACATATTATACATTATTCAATTTTTTGAAAGGTGTTGGCATAAAGCGAAGCGTTTTATCTAACGGGGAGGGGGGCAAGGCGTAAGCCCTGAGGCGCAACGCGAAAGCCCCATTATATTTAATTTTTAATATTTTATAAATTAATAAAATAAATAAATAAATAAATAATTGCATTAATATTACAACTATTCAAGAAAATTATAAAATTAGTAGGAAAATATTATATCTATTATAAACATGCTAACATTTGCAGGAACCTTACAAAAAATATATAATTCTTAACTTAAAAAAGTAAAAGACGTAAAGATACATTACACCTATAATATCTTGATGGAACATAAGTAGAATTGTAAAATTAATATTTTAGTTCCAAATAATTCAAAGAATAAAAATAAAAATAATATAATGTTATTGTTTCAAAACCTAAAACTACGTAACAAGTCATAAATATTTATTATACTACAAATAGCCCAAATAGAGTCTTCAAAATAATATCTAAACTAGAGTGATACCAAAAGAAATTTAAAAATAAAAAACTAACTTGAAAAGAAAAATATTAAATAAACAACAACAACAACCCAGTATGGTCCCACAAGTGGGGTCTGGGGAGGGTAGGATGTACGCAGCCTTACCCCTATCCTGGAAGGGCAGAGAGACTGTTTCCGATAGACCCTCGGCTAAAGAAGGTGAGAGAAGTCTTGGTACCAAGTAATAGAGGACAATATTTTTTTACTTTATATTTTTAGAGACAAAGGCCTAAATTGTATTTGTTACTCAGCAAACGACAAAGAGAAAGATTGTGAAATAAGGATAAACAATTAAGAAAAATATTGACTTTTGAGTTTTTTATTTCGAGAATTTCCTATGAGTTAACTTTTGGGTATTTAAGTTTTAAAAAATAATTTATTAAGCATTTTGGTTCAAATTTAAAAAAAATATGAACACCCAAAATATTGAGGCTTATGCTTAGGCGAACGCCCAAAAGAGTACTTGCGCTCAACCAGTACGCCTCAATGCGTTTTTTGGTATGCCTCACCTAAGGGCTCGCCTATAAAATGCTTTTTAGAACACTAACTTAAATACATATAGTATTTATCCGCCAATTATTAATTTAATCGGGTGGGTGGAAGACTATTTGGATAAATTCTTGGTATATGAGGGTGAGTAAGTATTACCTTTGCTATAGTATGAGATGATTTTTATCACGATTATTATGTTATACTTTAATGTAAATAGAGGGTAATTAGGCAAAAGTGCTTGGAATGTAATTATACTAGTGCTAGTTTAAATGCAACTGCGCACTACATGAGTGCAACTTGGAAGTTAAAAAAGAACGAGTTCATTACTCAAATGGTCACTCAATTATCCGGAATTACCTATTAAAGTCATCTTTATTTTGTTTGTAACAACAAAGTCATTTAACTATACCTATATCACAGAAGGTCATTCAACTAGATTTCTCAAACTTTTGATTACCAAATACATACTTTTACCCTCTAAATTATCAACATTTGTGTTTTTTTTTAATATTATAATTTTTCTCTTTTTAATCTACATTATGGAATTACCTATAGAACAAATAAATTTTATTTATAAAATAAAAAATAAAAAATAAGTTTTCTAGAATATATAATGTCGGAATAGTAATATAATTGTGCATAATTTTTAAGAATATATAAGGTATATTATAAAAATAACTTTATTTTAAATAGTTATTTTTATATTACGTGCATGGAATATATATTATCAAAAATTCGTTCATTCTCAATTGTGTAAATATATTTTGAGTTTTTGTTGTTATTATCAAAATTATTATTACGAACAAATTATTCTAATTAATTTTTTTACTATGCTCAATATTTTATTATTCTAACATTATATATGCTTAAATATTATTTTTATTATTTTAATTTATAAATATAATTTATTTATTTTATAGATAAGTCCATAATATAAATAAAAAAAATAAAAAAAAAATACTAAAAATTTTTAAAATAAGAAGACAAAAGTTGAAATTTAGAGGGTAAAATAATAAAAGAAAGGATAAAATGGGCCGTTTAGTTCTCTCCCTCCCTCCTTTTAGGAACTAACAAACGAAACAGAAGCACACTGTAAATCTTGCATTACATCCCTTTTCTTTCTCTCAATGCATGCATCTCTCTCTCTCTCTCTGTTATTGATTCACTCCTTTCAACCACCAACGGCTCAATGTACACACTCCTCTTCCCTTCTAATTCGAACGCCTATATGTAGGCATTAATTGTGTACACACATATAGACAGACAAACAATAAAAATACAAATGATGATGGGAAGTTGAATATCAGAAGAAATTAAAGAGCGTGTAATTAAGGCATGAAGAAGAAGGGGTTGATTGTGGGAGCAGGAGGAATATCGTGGTTCGCGTGGAAGCTGTTGATTGTGGTTTTCCTTACTCTCACCATTGTTCTCTGCATGTTGGCTTTTCTTAGGCTCCAGCGATTCCCTCCTTCACACTCCCAAAATCCTTCTTCTTCAGTTTCTCGTAGATTTCTCCATCCCAATTGGGATTCCATTAGTTTTCGAGGCCATCCCAAAGTTGCTTTTCTCTTTCTAGCCCGACGTAATTTGCCCCTCGATTTCCTTTGGAAATCTTTCTTCGAGGTGACGTGATTTCTCATTTTTGTTTTTTCAGAACTTTGTGAAGTTGTAGAAGAAATGAATGTTTTCATCTTACGTGATGTTAGACAATTCTGAGCTAATTTTTGAGATTAAGTTAGGCCCAAAATACAATGTCTAAACATGACTTCAATTACAAATATTGGACCCCTAGATATGTAATCCCCCTTAGCGCTAGTTTTTGAGTTGGGTTAGTTCCAGATTTCAATGTCCATCTTACTTTGGAGGTTTAAGGGGAGTATATATTTCTTCATTTAAGTTCTTAGAGTTTCAGTTTTTATGTCATTTTCCTTTTTCTTCAGAGCAGATATGGTCTTTTAAAGAAATAGCAAAAATTGATAATATTAAAAATAAAAAAAAAATAAAAAAAAAAGAGGCTTTTCAGCTTCAGATTAGTCTCTATTGTCTATTTGCTTTGCAGGAATAATGGAAATGTGAAGAAATATCAGGTTTTAAGGAAGTTTAATACTTCGGAAACTAATACTATTATGGAGCATTTCAAAATCTATCTAAATTCCTCTCTTACACTTTGATCATTGTTTGATGTTTGCAGAATGCTGAGGCTGATAAATTTTCAATATATATACATTCGGAGCCTGGTTTTGTGTTTAACGAGTCTACCACAAGGTCATCTTTCTTTCATGATCGCCAATTGAATAATAGCATCAAGGTAAAGAATGTTCTTACTAGCTTGCTGTCACTTTTGAAAGAGAATGCAGATTTTATCCCTTTCTTATATTCTTCATTCGCAACCCAAATTATCTTTAATTTTCTTGAATGAAACAATATGAGTTTTTAATCTATTTGTGTTCCCTTCTTTCACTTCCTTTTGATCTCCCTATTAATTAATTATGACTCTTAAATCCTTTTCCAATTGCTTTGTGATTTAAGATCCATCAGTCAACTTCTTTAAGTTGTAGTATTCTTTCCCCGACTCATGAGGGACTATTTATGTTTATTGGCTTTAGATTTTCTGCTGATACTTGAGATGTATGTTGCGTACTTCCTTTCTCCTTTTCAATTTCTTTCATTTTGATATCTTAGCTCGAGTCGTAGAAACAACCTCTAGCAGAAATGCAGGGTAAGGTTGCATACGATAGACCCTTGTGGTCCGGCCTTCCCCGGACCCCACGCATAGCGGGAGCTTAGTGCACCGGGCTGCTTTTTTTTTTTTGGATATCTTAGCCCGATTGATATTAATTATGACTTGTAGGTAGCTTGGGGAGAAGCAAGTATGATTGAAGCAGAGAGATTGTTACTTGAACAAGCTCTTAAGGATCCAGCCAATAGAAGATTTGTGCTATTGTCCGAGAGGTTCAACTTCTAACTCTCAGAAACGTTGATTACTATCTGCTCTCGTAATTATTTTTGAACTACTTCCCCTTTTCCGTCTACCCAATTTACTTAGCCCTTATCTTAAATGGAAAAGTTTACTACCATCTCCAAAAAAACAAACAAATATCTCTTCCGATTATGTTGATAGACATTTCTTGAACAGCCTACCAAACATTCATTCATTTTCGACTATTACATACTTTAGGTATATCTGTAACCAAGTAGTTTTGATTGCTTATCTCGAACTGTTTACCTATTGAAAGTTTAATTATTTCCTTAGTTTCGCCTTGATTAAATAGGGTCATATAAATCCGAATGGATCCATAAGGTTTTGGGTTCCTATTCAAAAGTATTGGTAGTATATGATGTTTCTTGAAAATGCTAGAAAAAATGAAGGAATGGTTAATCCCTATCGAATATGCTGAACAAACATGATGTGATATGATAGTTTCGTTTGCTAAAAAGGAAATATATTATTCATAGGATAGATAGATGAAACACTGTAATTCTTGGGAAAAATTAACAAGGATGAGAGACAACTAGGACATGACAATGAAAAAGAATCAGAGACCAACAATTTTTTAGAATTAGTCAAGATTGATAATACTAGATTGGTAAAGGGCGAACTAGATCTTTGATATTTTGAATTGCACATTCATTATTTTTTCATGCATATGGCATTCCCGTAAAAGCTCGCAGATTCTCAATATAAAGTGCCACTTGTACCTTGGTGTCTTCCAACATATATAATATTTCGCTCATGGATCCCTTGAGGCCATCTATTTAATTTGACCTGTTTAGTTCTCTCTATCAATGTATTTTTCTTCAGTTTATTTCATTATACCTCTTTGACCTTGGTGTTAGATATTTATGTAACTACGTACTTCTCTATTTGCAGCTGCGTCCCGTTGTACAGCTTTAGCTATATATACAACTATTTGAGGGCTTCTCCTAGGAGTTTTGTAGACAGGTAAACTGGATATAACTTCTATGATGAACTCTGCAGTTGATTGATTTGGAGGAACTAGAAGGATAGAATAGCTAAAAGAAACTACATTGTAGCTTTGAGAAGAATATCTTGTGTTTCCTCTTCTTCTTTTATTCCGTTTCCTTTATGTTCTAACCAACAGACCCTCAAGTGGATTCTGGATTAGAGAATCTGTTTAGGATTTATTAAAATATTTCAATATTTATGTATTCAGTGAATAATATATTTTGGTATGTCTCTTCCAGCTTTCTCGATAAAAAGGAGCGCCGCTACAACCCAAATATGTCACCATATATACCTATGAGCAAATGGAGGAAAGGATCACAGGTAGTTGCTTGGTCTTTGGTTAAATGTCTAGTGACATAGAAGTGTTTGCCACCTGTCTACTTAGCTGCATTAAAGGTAGGGGTGGCAATTTGAGCACAAACCCATCTAACCCGTCCAACCCGTCCAGAGATTAATGGGTTGGGTTACAAACATTTTAGCTCATGGGTCAATTTGGACCCATTATATTTTATAGCCCATTCTGACCCATTAAGCAGCCCAAGTACAACCCATGAAACTCACCCAAAACAAAAAGGTATCTCAACCCAACTTATATAGAAATTTATTTAGTTGCCCCAATTTTACTTTTTTTTTTTTGTATTTTCAATTTTATGTTCTTTTGTTTTTCTGCACCATCCACCCCCTGACCCCCTCCCCCCTCCCTTTCAAATTTTTTTTTTTACTTTTCCTTTTTTTTTTTTTTTTGTATTTTCAGTTTTCTTTTTCTTTTTCTATACCATCCACCCCCCTCCCTTAAAAAAAATTTTTAATTTTTCTTTTTGTATTTTCAATTTTTTGTTTTTTTTTCTGCACCACCACCCACCTAACCCAGCCCTCCCCACCCCCCCTCCGAAAAAATATTTTTTTACTTTTTTTTTTGTATTTTTAATTTTCTGTTTTTTCTGTACCACAACCCCACC